TGCAGCAAGGTAAAGCAACAATAGCAGCTCCTGCACTAACAACTGGCAGTGAGGCAGTTGAACAGGCATTTGCCCCAATACCGCCACCCATTCGAGCAGAAAAATATCTTCTCTTGTAAGAATTAGCTATAGTCATGCATTAAAAGTGACCTAAGTTCAAATCAGGACGGAAGTTATGGGGAACTATCATTATTTTAGCTTAAGTGCATTATAATTTTTGTTACCTGTTTTTTCGTTATATTCTGTTGCCATATAGATTTATGTCATACAATTCAGTCCTTTTTTTCTAATATTATGATATAACTCCATACCTTATTACTGCATAATGACATACTTATACCTGATTAGATCTCTAGTGAGAGTGCAGCTTTAGACTTCTATGTTCTGATTCTAATGCTTCCAATGTTTCCATTTCTTAATATCTAATATCATGGACACTCAGTTAACAGTTAATCAACTTACCAGTGATCCCATTTGAACTGTGAAGTGAAGCTCACAGCAACTGTTATTGGCACTGCAAAATGTGTAAAGTTTTATGAGTGGGTATATGGCTCTTTTTCAAGACTAAAAATAATAATTTTTATGGATACATCTGATCCTATTTTTAATTATTTCCTAAAATGGAGGTGTTTTTTGAGCCAACTATTTTTTAAAAATTATGAACTATAGCTCATGATATTTTTTAGAAATCTGCTTATTTTTAATATATAGAAGCTCATAGCTAAAAAAAATTCAGTTGGAATCAGTCATTGTTTGGGCATCAGATGCATAAATCAAAAGAATTTGACACATTCTTGTTTGGTGCATGGAATGACAGACACTGAGCTGCTCCTTGAGTAATTACTTTGTTATATATTAATAAGATCCTATGACTCTTCTTCCAGACGGTCTAAATTGAAACCACAAAACCAAAGTAGATAGCTACACTAAACATTTATAAGTACCAATCATATAAATTGTATTTATTAAAAAATCTTTACTATACTTCACTTTTACTTAAGCTTCTGGACAGTCACGTATCTAATTCATCTCAGAGTCTTACTTTCATTAACAGTTAAACTCTACTCTTATTCATTATGTATGTACAAGGATCAACATATTGCTAGTATAACTTGCATTCTTATAAATAGCATAGGCATGCAACACACATTTACTGTTTAATTTATGCTGCCTGCTCCATTCACTATACAATGCAAGAATATTGGGATGTTGTTATTAAAATTTGTACTTTAACACATAAAGACCTCCAACTTGCATGCAGTTGGTTCTTGGTCAATCACCAATCATTTAAAAAAAAATAAAATACTCGGTACTCCCAGCATCCTTTTCAACACTCAGTCCATAATAAACTCATTGATATTCATCATACGGTTGAAATGAACTTTTAGGATTATAACTATAAATTACATGCGCAATCAATTATAAGCTTTTAACTACTAAAGTACAAAGTGCACAGCTTATCAGAGACTGAGCTAATCAAATTATAAAATAATCATCATCTCCAGTTGTGTAGCTTGCATCGACCAAACCTTGAAGAGTATCACTGTATTCCTTCAGTTCATCAAGTGCTTGTGTCAACTTACTCTTTTCCTCACATATACTTGTTGATAAGCTCTGAGCCTGCAAAACATTCATAATTATAATGAAGTTTGATTTTCCATACACTCACTTTAAGCAAATCTTTATTAAGTTTTAACCCCCATTCCTTATCATATTGAGCCTTCAGTGATTTATTGTAGTCTCTCAGTGTATCTTTTATAGCCTGTGTAGCACTAAATAATACTGTTACAAAATTATTTTCATTACAGATCTATACTTTCTCTAATTGTTGCTTACATTTGCTTTCACAAGTTTTTTTTATCTCACATTTCATTTTGTCATTTAATTTTTTGACATCTTCTTTACTATTAATTTTATTATACATTAACCATTTCTATTATAAATACCTAAGTTTCATATTTTGATCTGTGGTGCTAAATACATTATAAAGGGCGATTGCACTCAGACCCAGACCCAGTCCCAGCCCAGCAAATGGTGCTGCTAAAACTGCTACAGTAACACCAGCCACTCCAGTAAATGTTCCCCATCCAATGTGCCACCATTTTCTCATTTTAGTTCTATCACTATAATAATTTTAATAAAGCTACATGTGTATATAATTATCAAATTTTACTTGACAAAACTCCTTATGTCCTCAGAAGGCTCACCAATTAAAAAACCAGTTTTTTGGATTTCAGCTATTAAAATGTAGGCATGCATGTAATGTTATTGTAATAATTTACATACCTTCTACAGTGAAAGTTGTTCTCTGAGAATCATGATCTAGTATATGCCTTATCAAATTCTTATATTTTTCTCGAAGCTTGAATTCTAAATGTTCAACACATTTTCTTGTTTCATCATCTAGCTCTTGCTTAATTAGATCAGAAAGATCTTGTTTACTAAACTCATCCCAGCCTGAATTTTAAAGCAATTATAAATATTAATTATTAAATTATAGCACCTTTCAAGTATTGACCGAATGTATAATCATTATTTGCAGAGTTTATGCAGCCACTATAAAATGATGTCATTTTTTCTTCAATTTTTGGAGATACTCTTGTCGTAAAGAAAATCTGAACTTAATAATAAAAATTCTGTAATTAACAAGACATCAACTTACAGATGACAATTGTTGTATATTTTGTTCCAATTCTTCTGAAGCATATTTTTGAACACCTTCTTCCAAATTTTTTAAAACTTCAATTTTTACCTTTATTCTTTCTACATTTCTAAAGCTTTCTATATTTATAAGTTTAATCATTTTTACTTGATAAAAATTAAAATGCTTACCATTTATTTTAGACTCAATGATAAGTAAAGCAGTATCTCCTGCTCGAATAGGACCTTCTAAAAGTGCTTGGCATTGTTTGTACATCATGATATTCCATTGGTGAAAGTTTGTTTCATTAATCAAACATTTCAATCTATATATATAAATTGTTACTTCAACTAGTATAATTAGCATACTTACTTTTCTTCTAATTCTTTAAATGCTGAAGTTTCCAAAACAAACGAAGCTTTATTATCCAAACTTTCCTCTCCAGATACCTTTCTGTAAGCCTCTTCAATAACACTATATGACATCTGATCTCTTTCCTTATACTTCATTGCAAGGTGTGCATGTAGAGCCCATAAACCACAAACAGGAAATACTTCTTCACGTCTAACCAGCTCAATATTACGTTCAACTATAACTTTAGTTTCCTCTCCATTAGGATTTAGCTCATCAGCATGCGATGTGTAGTATTTGTCAAAATGACTCACAGCAAAAAATAATGATGCTATATAAGATTATATATAATGACAATATAAAGTAAATAAAAAACATTAAAAATGGAAAAGTAGTAGGATTAAATTGTAAAAAAGTAAAGAAACAAGAGGGTACTTGCAAAGTGGTGTGATAACAAATCCTACACCACTGCATGAAGAATATAACCCAAAAGCATTGTAATTATCCACACAGGCTACTACATGATAACTAAGCCATGTCTTTCATGAAGTGGTGTAGGATTTGTTATCACACTAGTGTTGTTCTAGTTCTTACATGTCCGGTCCTTGACCCAAGCTCAAAGGAATGATGTAAAAGCCAACTTGAGCGGTTCTCTGGATTAAAAGATTTCCGTGTTGATAGAAGAAGATGAAAGAAGAAGAAGAAGAAGAAAAAGTCTGAAGAATTTTGCCAGAAATTTGAATTTGGGCCTATTCTCCAGAAATGCTCCCACTACATTACAGTCCACTTTAAAGGTACTAGGAGAATCGCTCAGTGAAGGAGAGCTCATCTAACCCATTTATAAGGCTGTACAACGTAAGATAAAAGAGTTATAAGTCTTTGAAAATCATAAAAACGGCCACCATCTTGAAAAATCAACCTCAATCCTACATATAGGCTACCGCCTATATGTAATACTATAATATTTACAACATTCTGCAGAACATAATATAAGACCGATTGGATCTTATGTTGTGTTCTATGGAACTGATGCAATAGGTGAAGTTATGTATCATCTTTAAAACTATAATTACCATTTTCTGGCTTGCAACCTAACTCTTTCTTTATGTTATCTTCATTTTGCAAGAGTCTATAGATTACAAATGATATCACATTTTTCATCAATCTACTTTACCTTACGTAGTTCTCAACATAAATCATAGCAGACAGTATGCTGTAGTATGACTTAACATCGTCATTGATAACTTCTACTCCAGGAGAGTCCACAAGGTAAGGTGTACACTCAGTTGATGAGCTCAATGAATCAAATACTGGAATGTAAGTATAGAGAACAAAGGTTTCCTTCTGATCCTTATCTTTCTTGTTCTTTTCTGTAATTTTCGATTTAATATCCTTTACTCCATGGCACAACTTATCACTTGCTCCAATCTGTCTGACCAAATATGGACATTTCTATTAAAATAAACTTCATATAACTATAGTATGCAATTCAGGGTTGGGGTCAAGCACTTCTGGTTTGCTTAAGTCATAAGCACAAGCATAAAAAATTAAGTCTAGGGATTTGCATGTAATTTTTGGCTTAAATCACAAGTACAAGCTCTTTTGTATTGCTTAAGCATAATTCAAGCACGATTTAAGCATTAGCTACATTGTAACACTTTAATAAGTACGAAGTATGTGTTGTAATACACACTACATTTGTCTGATAAGCCATGCAGTAAGTTGCATGTCCACTTGAGGAAGTGCAGGATGTATTTTAAATTCTCCTTTTTAAGTTTGGCTTGAGCTACTTGCAATTTAGTCTTAAATATTTTGTATAAAGGGACTATATACACCAGGGTTTCCCATAAAACATGCTAAGTGAGCTAAACAGCATACTTCATGAGCTGACAAGCACTACAATACAGTATATGGCACTTGGAGCAACTTTAAAATTCATAAAAAATCCAAATTTAATCAAAATCAGCTCAAAGTTGATACACAGCTTAAAAACATTTATGTATTAGAAAAAATTATATTAAAATGTAGAATTCTCTCCTAGCCATTTTTGACAAAATTTGACCAAAGACCAAAGGATATAGTTTTATTGTTAGCTAGATTTTTGAGCCACTTAAAAAATTCATAAAAAATCTGGAATCAGCTCAAAGTTGATACACAACATAAGGACATGTGTATGTATCAGAAAAAAATCATAAAAATACAGAATTATTTTCTTGTAATTTCGTTGCAAATCAACTTGAAAAGGGTCTTTGGCCCAATTTAATTTTGAGCAACTTAATTGACAATCCACAGATCCATTATCCACTGACAAGAAGCTGCATGAGCACTATACCAAAATCCTGAGGGAAATCCTCATGTACATGTTGGATTCTCAATAACATATAATAGGCTTACATGCTTACATACTTAACAGTACTTGCAATATTACTTAAGTTTATTCTTATAGTCTTATAGTCATTTCAAAATGCTCAATTATTTGTACTTAAGCTAGCTTGAAACTTAAGTCCTAAGTGCTTGACCCCAACCTCCCAACCTTGGTATGCATGGGGATTAGATGCTTCACAATCACAAGGCAAAATCTTTTAAATATTCTGCACTCACATCACAGTGCCCAGTAAAGCTTTCACAAGGACCTTTATGAACATTTGGATCATGCCCAATAAACATCCTGAAACCAGTAACTTTTCCAATTCCTGATGGTAAGATTCTAAGACATAAAATAGTCACTATTATAATTGTTATCATTACAGTTGCTTACATACTTGTCTCTTAGGAAAGCATTAATAAGAGTACTTTTACCACAACTGCCTTCCCCCACTACAGCTACCAGTAACATCTTGTTCTTGATTTGATGAAGGAATAATTGTAGTCTTTTATCATTAATGCATGAACCTCCTCCTTTGCCATGTCTTTTATGGGAGTCATCAATTGTTTTCAGAGCATGGCTACGCAATGATTGAATCTTTTTCTGAAAGGGTATATACATGTACATGATAATGATGGATCCATACAAAAACAAGCATTCAATAGTTTCACATGTTGCTTGTAACATTTGTGGTTACTCAAGAGGCCTTCTTTACAAGGCAATTCCAGCAACCAGCAAAACCAACACTATGGTATGGCAAACATCTTGCTAGCAACATTTGTGGTTACTTTCTTGTGAACAACTTGTTTCAAAATCAGAACATGTTGCTTACAAGATCAAAACATTAACCCACACATAAATATGAGTAGTTTGTGTCTTTAAGACCAGGATGACTTAGTTTCTCGATGTGTTTCCTCTGCTGAAGCAAATTCAAGCCCTTGAAATAGGTAAATATTTTCCATTGCAATGCATGCATCTTTCCCACAATTGGGCGTGGCACTTGTCATCGTGACAATATTATGATTCATTTCCTCAGGTTATTATGGTTAATACTCACTGAATAAACTATCTTGAAAATGAAGAATAGGGCAGCCATTTTGATTCTGTAACAAGCATTAATTATTAATATCTGAGAGTTTCCAATCCCTGTTGTATACGAGTACACGCACCAATTATGAGACATTTAAGATTTAAAAAAAATTTTATCATTAAAATTACAGGAAGAGTCCCATAATACAAATACAAACCATTTCATAACAGATTCTACTCTACTGACAAGCTTACTTCCAACTCATCTACTTCCGAAAAATCTAATGCAGAAGAGAGTAGATATAATTAGATCTAGTCGATGAAATAAATCTACTCACCACATCTTGATTGTACATTGCCCATATTCACTCTTGCTTCAGTCTTTTCCGAGGTCTTTTCTTACAGCTTCAAGAGTCAGATCAGTCAGTTACAGGCACGTGATGATAATAATGCATCAGTAACGTACGCGCACTGCACTTGATAAAAATAATTAGTGACATCATAGATTTACGAAACAGGAAGTACCATGCATGCATAATACATTAATATAATGCATGCCCTA